TATTTGTGTCCTAACGTTGTGATTACTCGACATCCACAACGTAATTAAAAAGGCACTTGCTAAGGAATACGATAGTGTATTATTGCAGCAATCAACAATTCAAAAATCGAGCGAGTACCAAAAGGTATCAATTTTTAACATGCAAGATTTAGAGTAATAAACAAATCGGAGTACAATTACACAATGAAAGTATACTGCCATGATGAGTAATAAAACGGGTCACTACAACATCTAAGGACATCTGTCTCCTAAAAACTACATGTCATCATTATAAACAGTATTTTAAAGTAAAATGTTTACTGATAGTTTTGTCATTTATTCCACTAATTAAATGAGGCCTTCACGTGCATTAAGATTTAATCTTGAGAGGCCAGACACTCTGAAAATCCACTAACAGTACCCCAGTCTACAGTATTGTAATTTTACATGAATATCCCCATTTTTGTCTATAGCTTGTTCGATCATTATCTCCATCAGAACCCTTATATATAACCTTCATTCGGATGACATTTCACTTTGTTACTGTATGATAATGGACCGTCGACGTCACTGGTGAACATCGTTAGGTACTAAAATTCAAAGTCCTTTAAATGTCGAACGCGTGGCTACTAAAACTGTTTCTGTACATTTTTTAAAGTTGTTGAACCATCTTTGTGGCTTGGTCACGGTGTGTATCACTTCATCGCCAGCAGAATCACTTTGTAAAGTACGGAATTCTAGTATGTGACCCTCACCTTACCCGGCGCTATCGTAGAACTAGCTTGGAAATCCGTAAAAATTCCGAACACGCTGGGTACATATATTTCCTTGAAACAGTTTATAAAATCACTTCTTTATTGGACGAGAAGGCCATCAATCAGCTATTCTGTGGTTTTTCGTCGGGCTGTAAGTCATCTTAGCTTGAGGGACAAATCGGCAACATTTTAGGAGATATGAAAACTGAAACAAGACTATCAACTTCAGCGACATCCATTAACTAAGAGCTCTCAGAAACTGCTAATACTCGGAAAAGTGGGAGTTGATAAGCCATTTAAAATCGACGATAAAATAGATGAATGTCTCTACATATTACAAATGCCAACAACTATTCAAAAAATGAGGATCCTGAGCGTCTCAAGTGAAAAGTAGATATGCTAGCTTGGGCAGCTGAGACCGTGAGATGAAGAACACCACATCGCACATTCTTTAGTTGCACTCTTGTTTGTTCCCATATGCGCAAAAAGCACAAATAGGTAAAATGTCGTATCACCGTCGTATACTCGGAGACTGGGTACTTTCTGGCAAACAGATGTGTGGACTGTAGTGACCCACTTCTTCGAGAAATGGGAAGGCCCCTACTGCAGCTGGTGAATACTGACACCGATTCAAAGTCCTGTAGCGGTAATTCCCCAAAATTATTGACCACAGCACTCATCACTGAACATTGAATACTTACCCTTACTGTTTAATTCGACTTGTTTAGCTGAAGGCTTCCTGTCAAGCATCCATGTCATTTGGTACTCTGTCGTGTCACGTTCGTGCACGACTCCCAGCCAGCTAAGAAATAATCTCGCAATCCGAATTGGTCCCGAAATACATCCTGTAATTTGGACGATTAAATATTGTCTTTTGCTTTTCCTTTGGTTTACGCGGAACGAAAACTATGGAAGTTGCGGGTTTTAGATCTTGTGTTAGTATACTGCGTACTATCCGTGAACGGCAGTACCCTTTCAGCCTTTAAATTCCTTTTACATGAACGGAGGAATAAAGGCTGGAACACAAATTTTTAATCTGCCCAGGTGAAGAAACAGTTAAGGTTCCACAAACATTCAATGAAAGTGATCACCGAAATTTTATCTCGGCTGGATAAACAAAAATGACGTCAGATGTTAACACGTTCAGCTCTACAGCTTCAATTCTGTTCTCAGAATTTTACGATATACTCCTGAAGGAAACTTTTTCTCTCACATCTCTTCCTGTTTTTAGTGTAGACGTGCCGCTACATTTGGAATAACTGAATAGTGTAAATCGGCATGAATTCCTCAGGATTGTATAGACTTCAGGAGACAGGACCCACTGGGCTTCACCATGCGTTACCTTGTGAGTCCAGAAACGACTCCATATATTGCCAACTACTTGAAGTATATCCTAAATTAACTTTGATTCTTGACTCTTGATTAAAGCCTGATTCCACACCACATTTTAGATACAAGTATGAAATTTTCAGCATGGATATCGGTAGCCCAAATTTTGCAGGCCGACCATAGTTATCAGGTGTGCGTCAGCAGGGGATTGAACCCCGGACCATGTGCATGCTCGGCGAGAGTCCTAACCGCTGTGCCACCTGACAGACATAAACAGAAGCCAACCTAAAGCATCTTCACCCACCAAAATTTAATGCTTTGAAGTCGATTGTATTAAGTCAGAGAGCTTCAGATGGCGTAAAATAAATTTCCAATTTTCAAGATATTTATTTCGTGTTTATGCCACACCACACCAAGATTTATTTAAGCGAAGGCTTTCATTCATTTTATCTACCCACAAAGGCCGCTGAATCACCTACAACGACGAAGCAAACACCCAGTGAACTAACTCTTCTGTTCAGATGACTGATGCAATGACTCCCATAGCTCTCCACACGAGATATGCACGGGCATCACAACAATTACGCACCACGAGATACGGGACACCTCGAACTCATTTTAAGGTTTTCTTCCGTTATACAGCATGCTCAACATAGAAGAAAGTTCAATCAAAAGAGATTATCTTATCCACACATACACAAGGCGAGATGCACAAGTGATCCGGTTTTATAATTCATTAATCCCGAATCAGTTGTCTGGCAGCACATTTCAAGTAAACAACAGTTGAAGTCGAAACTTCACATCATACATTATTCAGCAAAGTTCATTCAAAGGATACAAACCCTACAGGGAATTAAGAAAGTCTATTACATAATAAATAACCTACTGAATACCCCATCGAAAACCATGTTGCGTGGTGATAGCACGAATTTCTAGACTCCTGTATGAAACGTTGACCAGCTATAGTAATGCAACACCATTATTATCAACCATAACTTTCAACACGATTCACATGGTGGCTGACACTGGTTAGAAGTACTTATTACAAATCTAGAAACTACATCTTCAAGCTATTCATTAATGAGGTTTTTATTAAGGTAAAAGCATGCAAACTACAAATAAATAGCTACTGAAAAAGCAAAACATGTTTTCAACCATTTCGAATACATATCCTTAGGATATGGTTCCAGTCAACATTTAAAACCCAGTCAATTCACAGGTTCAATAAACCACATAGCTATTTTAACATAAGCGAATTCCCAGGATATAAAGCGATTCATCGGTAATTGATTTCATTGCAACCGCAGTTACTGGACTCTCCAGATATTCGGAAATACCGCTTAAATCATTGTTACGCTAGTTGGGCACTGTGTATTATGCTTCGCAATACGTTGAGACTGGAATAGGGACGTTCAGCTGAACATGGACGCTGATCACGAGTACCACTGACTACGTCAACAACATTTCACGATAGCCGCTTGTACCCCAAGCCCACACTACCTAAACAAGAACACACAACATGAGCCTCAAGGTATATCCCACGCAGCAGGGTATAACTTTAAAAATATCACCAGGGATGTGTCAGTTGGTCTGTATCATCGTCAGTAAGATATTGGCGTTATTTTACGCCTGCCAATTTTAACTGGTTTATTTCCAGACTGGAAATTGACCGCCATATCATGTTAGAGAGTGCTTTCAGTTTCCATTCATTTGGTTTTATCCTTTTAACTATAACACTATTCATGTATCAGCCAGGGTTTTGCTTCGGTTGCTCAAATGTCTTCCAAAACGCTTTGCGCAACTTCCACCTGCTGCTCATCGGACAGGTTATTAGCTTTACATCAACAAAACTAGAACACAAAAATTTTTTAAATCAGTCACAGCTACAACAAGTGCTGAATGAATTTACTGCAACACCATCTAGATAAAAGCAATCAGTCGAAAGGTTTATGTTTCGTCTAACGAAACAGTTAACAATAACCTGTTGTTGTAGGTATTAATTTCAACAACTGAACATTATTATGATTAATAATTTCCTAGGTTCCGGGTGAAATAAAGGGCTTCAACAGCACATTTGTCCTGTGCTCTGAACTCCTCTATGGATGGCCCCACGATTTCTCATTAGCTCTCTACACCTTCTCACACGATCTCCTGCATAACACCCTCAAACCAGACGTTCCTCACTCTGGTTCTGCTCAGGAATCTGGTGAACGATGTCACCAAGCAGTCTCCTCAGCGTGTGCCTAATGCATATCCGTTTTCTTCGGTATATCTGTTGAGCAATAGGTTCTTGATTAGATGATTCCCGGGATTTCTTGTTGCCAATTCTTTCTGACCGTTCGATATCCAATAATGAGCGAAGGCAAAAGCTTGCATTTGTGTGTTTGGAATGCTTTTTCTGATGCGGCCGCCAAGTTTCTGACCCACATATAAAAAATGACTTACTACTGGAGTTGAAAATCCGAATTTTGTTCCATATGCAGAGTTAACACGATTTACAAGCTGATTTCAGAATAATGAAAGTCTGTCTTGCCATCCTAAGTTTGGCTTTTGCATCCTCATCCGTGCCGTCTGCCTGTAGTTGAAGCAATACTGCCCACATGAGCGAAGAAAGTGACCTCCATCAAATTTATCCTGTTGACATTCATTTGCACTTGTTGTTATTTTCGTCATCTCCGTCCTCCCTGTGCTTACTTGAAGTCCTGTCTTCACTGCCTGCTTCTTCAGCAAGCTTGTTGGTTTCGCCTGTACATCTACGAATTTATGTGACACTAGACATAAGTCGTCAACGAAAGTCCATATCTTCTAGATTTTTCTTATCAGTTGAAATTTTTGCTATATGCTTGCTCCCCAAACATATTACAGCCCAACAAAATTAGGAATATCCTCAGTGATAGCAGACAGCCTTGTCTTACTTCCATCTTGACAATTGGACATAACAGCGGCAATTTAACAGTGTGCGGTACGAAAAAAGATGGGATATGAGTGAGTTATTAACTTTGACACTGCTTAAAAATTGTGATTGCTAATCTTCCAAAGCAAAATCCTATTTGGGATACTTTAAAAATTGCGCATCATTCGCGTTATAATTTTTCATCTAGAAATAATCCCTGGTTTTGACTTTTATATTTAGTATCCAGGTAGTGAATAAAGTATACTCTGTTCCCTGACTCAACACTATAGTGTTCTGCTGATTAAGGGGAAAATATGCGAATATTTGGTGAAATTCTGCTGATCAGGGGATATCATGACTTAAAAAAGAGGGAAATGTGAAAAAAGGGGAAAATGTCCGGTGTTTGCGAAAAAGTTTAATATCTTATCATTGCCCAATTTTTCCCCTTTTTCTCTCAATGGAATGCCCCGTTTTCTCCTCTTTTTTAACATGATTTTCCTCGTATTTGGCGGATTCGGTAGATATAACTGTGTAAATAAAACTAGGTGTAATATTGAGTTGCTTGTGGACCCAGCTAACATCGAATTCGGGCGCAAGATAGAAACTTTAGGAAAATTGTGGGTGCACTATAGTAATTGCGCCATACTGTCCCACTTTACCAGTCAGACTAAAACGGTTAAAAATGGCTGAATAATGGTCATCGCCAGTAGTAAGAAAAAATAGGCGTATTTTGTTTGTGTGACGTAATTACAACCAACTTTCAACCTACGTTTTACCATTATGACCACTGTTGAACCGATACATTCCTGTGATTTAACCAATATTTCCCGATTATTTAAGCACTGCTTTCCCATTTCAATTTTTAAGGCAAATTTTACCATTTTGACAGTTATTTAGGCAATATTTGCCCATTATATTACCATAGTTACCATTTGCCCGGAATCATGCCCACTTTAACTATCATTTAACCATTCTTTGCCAATCTTTGTCCTATTGGGTTTCTGCAGTGGACGACACGATTTTAATAGCTGGGGAAGTTTTTAGTCATTTTCTATTACTCTATGGTCGATTATATGATATGACAAGGGATACAGATATTCTGAACTTGAATGTGTATGAGAAATTGAGGGGGTCTTGGATTATATATATATATATATATATATATATGATATTTCCCTCCACTATCACGCGCGCATTATCTGATTTCTACATGCACTTATAATTTCGCCATGTTAATTTTCATGACCGCCCACCTCTGTTTTTCTATGAAGACAGGAAAATTCAGCACAGTTAAAACATTACTTTCGATTGTTCGGAAGTGTCTTTGTAGTCAGTTATGAATTCAAAGGAAATGACTCCAATGTTTACATAGAAAATCTAATGGTTTCTGGATGTCTTTGGTGTGGGTTTTAAGCATTCCCATATTCACCGGTTCATGTTGCTCTGCTAACGCCATTGAATGAAACCTTGGTCTAGTATGTTATGTGCGCTTTCTTTAAAATTCGGTTTATTTGAAGATTAAATAATTTTATCAATATATACTTTTGGCACTTTCTGTGGCAAGTTGGCTTGACAGATTTTTAGATTTTATGTGCTTGAATTTGTCCAAGTCTATACACACTTAAGCTAAAATTTGTAACAGCAGCTTATCCTGCAAGAGTAACTGCAAGATATTCTAAAGATAAACGAAAATTAAGCACAAACTAATCAGTTTTTTCAGTTTGCTACACATTACCTGCACCAAGTTTGTCTTCACAGTAAAAACATACGATTTACACTTGAAAGATTGTCCACCTTAATAATGTCAGTATCAAAACCTATATTCATGTTGTCTTATCCGTTGTGCACTATCTTGCCGCCAGTCAAAATATCACTACGAAACTTATCTATCTCATATACTTCTATAGAAAGCCATTTCCTATTAACCACTTAATCACGTTTACAAATCAACTTTTTCATGATTATTAGCCATCGTTTTGCGTTTTATACGTCTTTTGTAAATTACCCACTCAAACTAAGTGAAATCCAATCAGCAGGTTAATATCCTTAACTGAATGCTATATATTTATTCTCAAGCTGGTTTTGGTTTTCAGGGCATTGGATATTTGTTTGCGTGGGTGTCTATCTGTTTTCTTGTTGGAAAAGTACCCTGTTGGTTTGTAGTGAATCATATGCATCACCAGCTTCTATTAGCTTTAGCATCGTAGCTGTGGAGCGTTAGCTTCTTTAATAGACATATCTGATATATTTTACTTCGTAACATCCACATATTAATTTTTTGATCATTCATGTATTTTTTTCTCTTCATCCCACAAAATGATCTCACAGTGTCAAAATAGTCTTTGGTCGAATATGAATTAAAAGAAGTTAATTCAGAATATCATTAGTGACTCCTTTTGAATTTGTCCTCCACCCAAAATGAATGTGTTGCATTTAATCAAACAAGCAAATACACTTTCACCAAGAATCCAAGCCCTATTAAAAGAAAGTAACCAGATCAAGTCTGTTGAGGATAAAAACACCAGAACTCTATTTCCACGTGATGTGTTAAAGGCAAGATTGACGGACCTAGAGTTCCGAGTAACACAAGAGAAACATACAGAGAAGTAAGTTCCCTACAAACGAATCTTACTGTTTTAGACCTTTCACAGGAAAATATTTGAATGAAAGATCGCGCGGAATATATAAATGTGTTGTATGTGGCTCGAAACTGTTTAGCAGTGAGGCAAAATTCTTCTGTAGCTGTGGGTGGCCTGCATTTAACAGTCCTGTTGGACTAAACTGTCTTATTTCATCCATTGATTTATCTTCAGGTAGGCTTATAGTTTGATATGTTTCATATTTATAACTTTTCCATAAGTGGTTATCTTGGTTATGTTAAATAACTACAAAATGTTAGAATTGTTCACTTCATTTTGTTATTTTAAAGTATGCTACCCTAAAATGTTTGTTTTGAAATGATCCCAGTAATCATAAGGAAACTTACGTAAATGCTCACAAAGGTTGTCATCCACAGTTTTTATACATGTCTGTTCATCAAGAATTCTTATGTGATAAATGTGCTTACCTTCTTAAGTATTCAGTGAATAGTACGCAACTCGTGACGTCTGATTAAACTACCGCACACACCCGTGTTGTAGTTATATAAACAGTTGGAATGCATACAATATTTATTCAGATTTTGATCTCTTTCCAGTCTTTTTCCTTGATTTGATCCTCTGCAGCACTAAACAGGGTTGCGTGATTATTTCATACGTGTTTCACTTTTATATATATATATATATATATATATATATACAGCACACCAAATATTTCAAATTTGGTTTTAGTCTGTCGACAAATAGTTATTACCTGTCTTACAAGATCTGTGGCTAGGCGGTTTGTGTTGAAGCAATCTATCCTTATTATTTTTTAATGGTTTGGTTTATACCTACAAAATAACTTCCAAACTTTGTTTTGTTAATACTAGATTGAAAATGTGGACCATCGGCTTAAGCTTTATACTTTCGACAAATATGTCCTGGGTTTCAACTTCTCCCGGTCAACTAAGTTTTATCATCAGCTCTCATACAATAATAACAGCTCATAGCTTGAGTAACTGGTATCTATCTGTAGTAAACTAGTAACTGGGCAAGGTTTACTTGTCTAAGTAATTCATAAAAATTGCTGCTGACCCTATACCAGGCTGTGTAATCACTCATTTCGAGTTTACTAGTGATTTGTATATAAGAATGTAATCTACTGTCTGTACTGCTGCTGCCAGGATGAACTTCAGTGTATAAACTTTGTTGCTGACATAGCAGCTGCGTCAGTCTTTTTGGCTAATTCTCTCAGTTAAACACATTGCACGACAGTTTCAATTAAATGGGTAGCAAACTTCAGTCAATATTCACTGAAATTCAGAGTGTACCCAATAAGAATCAGTTAATGAATCCTGAAACCCATTGGTTACAGTAATTTTTGGCAGCCTGAATCTTAACACAAATGATCTTTTCTTATGGTGTAGGGCTCTAGTTGTGTTGCTCAAGGAGATTTCCTCTTTACAGAAACACTTTCCCACCCGGAATTTCCTTCTCTAGACTCTCAGAACTCTGTACTTAAAGATGTTTTGTTGGAAATTTTGATGAGCACCTGACACTACCCGGTGGAAACTCTCTCCCATATTGATTGATTTAGGCGTGAACTTGGTCAATTTTCGATTTCACATACTTATTAAGGCATTGGTGTGAAAACACTTATTTCTATTGACTTACCATTGAACTATATTAAATTGTGACCACCACAAGGCCAATAAAATACATTCAAATGAATTTCTCCAAATTTTAGTTCACTGAAAACCTTGTTTGAATGCTTTAGCGGAACACCTTACATCACCACCTCAAATTATTAGTGTTTAACAATCATCCTTTAGACTAAGAAACGGTACACAAATTTCGAGCTTAGTGCATGTGTCGAAAATTTTTGGAGCTGTGACTCATAGGTGTAGGTACTCCACTTTCAGTCACTAGATCACGGGTTCAAACTCTGCTTCATATACTGAGGTTGTATCATTAGCCCTCACATAACATGTGTGGCTCATTACAAACTGCATGAAAATGCAAGCTGTTGTTGAGTAGCATGGCTGTGTGAATTGAGTAGGTGAAAGATTTAGAGCGCATGAAATGAAATAAATTCAATCCATCCCACACTCTTTGTTGTTACTTTACAAACATTTTCGGGGTAAATCACCTACAAAAAATCAATGATATTTAGATGAGCAAAGTGCAAATAATTATCTCTAAGGCCAAATGCCTTAATATAGAAAACCGATTATTAAGTACATCGTTCACAAAACCAAATGTACCTATCTCATTTCTGAATGTACTTGATCTTTGAATACATCTATTCATATGGATATAGTATTTCACCTTGACCTTTAGGCGTTTACATTTTTTAATTATATTTATGCCGCCTAAAAATCCCCCATTGAGTCATATAAAAGCAAAGACGTTTAGCGAAGAGTTACTCCTTTCAGCGACATCACTTTCAAGCTGTACAATCACATATATATAGTAAATTATCGTAGCAACAAAAGGAATATTTCCAAAGATGTGTCATTAGAATTGTAAATTTCAGATAACAAATTGCGCAATACAAAAAATGTTCATAAATAATCCCCATCTAGACATTAATGAAAACAAAACACGTAGTTCAGCGAAGAGTTTCTTTTCGGCGAATTCATTCACTTAGCTGTACAATCGCAATTATATATATACTTATTATTGCATGTTTGTATACATTAGGTTTGTCCGATAAGAATAAAAATTAGTTAGGGTCATTGTTGTCAAGACATTCCAAAATTGTGATGAATAATGAAAGTGTAACTAGGGGGGAGTGATGATAGGTAGTGGTGATGCGTTGTCCAAAAACATATTTATTAATGTTAACCAACACATAAAAGAAGTCGAATAAGCGTAATATAGTTGTGTAATAAGATAGATAGTTTAATGAGTGAGTTGTGATTAGGATGCACATAGAAACAAAGGGAAATATGGAATTATGTAAGAGTTCTAAAAATTACAAATGTTATAAGGAGTTAGAAAAAACAAGCACACAAACCTCAAGTCAGTAGAAGTCAACACGATTGATACCATGATAGTAGAAGTGGTTGGATGATTTTCCTTTGTATACATAATTCTAGTTTTTCCAAATGAATGGCTAAGGCTTCAGACGAAAGCGTATTGCCTTTGCTAGGTTATTTTCACTTTATGGATCACTTCGAAGGAGGAGTTTGTTGAGATGGAATGACCAGTGTTGACGAGATGTTCGATTATGGCACTCCTTATACAACCACTATTACCTTTTTCAGCCATGCAGGATAGTGTTCTTGAACCCTTTTGGACAGGATACGCGTAGAACGACCAATGTACCGAGCACCACAACAACAGGTGGACTGATATATGCACATAGAAGTGACCAGATGCGAGATCTTGTCCTTAAGGCTTCTGCAGATCAGTGGGCGACCACTACTCCTAGCGTTGCTGCGAAGAATGTTCTTTTCAAAGATGCTGAAATTCTTCTCTTGAGGATATCGCAAGCTAGGTCTCCCTTGAAATCCAGATTCATGTAAAGTATCTTTTTTTCAAACAAGTGATGTTTCGTTCCTCTGGACCTTTGGTTTTATATTCTTGTCGATGAATCTTGGTGGGCATCCATTTTGGATGAAAGTTTCTTTCAGAAGATCCCGTTCTGCTTCCAGGGCGTCAGGACTGCAGATGCAAGGGATTTAATCACATTTCGTTTCCGCTCAATAGGTACTCAACTGTAGAAACTTGTTAGTTCACCGTCCCAAGTGAGTTTTCCGTGGATTGACCTTCGTAAGGTTCCGTCAGGTCGTCTTGTTAGCTGCACAACAAGAAAGTGAATTTTGGATTCTCATTCCATTTCTAGAGTGAATTTCATTGCCGGATGGCAGTTGTGGAATATTTGTAGCAATTGACTTTGGTCGTAACTTTTGTCGCATATGACGAAAATGTCATCTACTTATCCTTTATACATTCGCAAATCGTCAATAGACAACTTGAGTAGGCCATTTTCAAGGCTAGCCATGAAGCAGTCTGCTAGTAATGGACCCAAGGGAGATCCCATCTCAATACCGCCGTTTTGTCTGTAGGTGGTATCATTGAAAGTAAAGTGTACATTGAGAGTTCACCTCAGTAGCAGTTCTTTCAGACATGTTGTTGGTATTCCAATGTTGAACTGGTTGTCATCTATGTATTTACATATAAAACAGACAGTTTCTGTAAGTGGGACATTGGTGAAAAGTGATTCAATGTCGAAAGATAGCATACTTTTGTTAGTAACATTCATATCTTGTATGCAGCCGACGAATTGGAAGGTATCACAAAGCGAGTATATGCATAGATGTTTCCTTACAGGTTCCAGAATATCAGCCAGCCATTTTGCAACAGAATGGTAAGGGGAACTTGATGTATCTAGAATTTGACAGAGTGTATGACCAACTTTGTGTATCTTCGGTAAACCATAAAGTCTTGGTATTATTGAACCTGGCAGTCGGATTTGATCATAGAGATCGCAGCTAATTAGCTGATCAGCTTTCATTCTTTTCAAGGCATCTGTAAGTTGTTTCTCAATCAGTTCGGTTTTGTTTCTTTCGTTGGGAGGTTGAGAAAATTTACTTTCATCGGAGAGTATATTCTTCATTTTCTCCATATAGTCTTTTCGGTCCAAATGAACTACACCAGCTCCCTTGTTAGGACAGGTTATCAGTAGTTTTTTTGTAGTCTCTCAGCTGTTTTAATTCTTGAGGTTTAATCGGCTTAAACCTCACAGTAAATCTCCTGACGATCCTATGAACTTTGTATTTAACTTCTCTTCAGTAACTTTATCTGACTTGCAGCAATCGATGATTGTTGATGTGAAGGCTTGTCTTTGGGCCCAAAATTCTGGGAGATCAATTTCAACGTCGAAAAACTCCATACTCATGTACAGTTTGAAAATTTAATTAGCCAAACGAATGATCTGGTTCCAACATCTAACGATGAGCTACAACAATATATATATATATATCATTGTTTAGTGCTGTAGAGGATCAAATCAAGGAAAAAGACTGGAAAGAGATCAAAATCTGAATAAATATTGTATGCATTCCAACTGTTTATATAACTACACCACGGGTGTGCGGTAGTTTAATCAGACGTCACGAGTTGCGTATTATTCACTGAATACTTAAGAAGGTACGCACATTTATCACATAAGAATCGGTGATGAACGTTTTTGGTTTTATGGAAGTATATTTATTTTTACAGGCATATATATATCCGGTATTCTTTTGCTTAAGTCACAGTTTTGCTCTTAATCTGTATTGAGCATTACTTTGGCGATTTAACGATTCTTTAGATGATTCGTGCTAATATTAGGAATCGCGTTAATCAACCGAGAGTTTAGTGGACATGAATAAGGCCGTGTGATATGTTATTAGAAAACCAGACAAATATTTCTGAGTTGAGGAGTGCAAGAAGCACGATAATATTAGATTTTAGTTCTTTTTTTGTAACTTGTACTTCAACTCACTACAATGTACAACTGACCCTTCAAATACTTTTCCCACACTGAATGTTCACTGGTGGATCTCTTTAATATATTTATTATTATTTCCTTTAATTCCTAGAGGAACATAGGGCTTCAGCCGCGCGTCTCCACTGCGTTCGGTTCTCTGCCAACGTTTTCACCTGGCTCCAAGTCTGCCCACATGCTTTCATCTCCTCTTCACATCACCTCCTCCAAGTCACCCTTGCACTGACGACCAACTCGCCGCTTCCCTTTCGGCCGGGTTCCACTCGAGCAATGGCTTGTCTAGTGATGTCACTTGATGGTTTCTTCAGAGTATGACCGATTCATCTCCATTTCTTCCTGCCTATTTGTTGCACAGTCGGTTCCTGGTTGGCTTGCTCCCAGAGATCCCTGTTGCTGATCTTTTCTGGCCAGCCATCTGATCTTGAGTATTGAGCGAAGACAACTGTTAATGAAGGTCTGTAGTTTGTTTGAGATGCTCTTTATGACGCGCAGTGCAAGTCTCTGATCTGTATAGTAAGTAACACTGATCTCACATTGGAGTTGAAAATCCGGATCTTATTTTTGATGCTGAGTGCTGTTGACCTCCACACAGACTTGAGAGTAGTGAAAGCTTGTCTTACTTTCCCGATTCTTGCTTTGATATCCTCGTCAGTTCCGTCTGCCTGTAGTTGAAACGATGCTTCCCAGGTAGGTAAAAGAGGTTGTTTCTTTCGGGTTCCTCCCATTTATGCTGATTGTTGTCTGTTGTTGTAGGCCAGGAATCTTCATCACCTCTGTTTTCTCTATGTTCACCTGAAGTCCTATCTTTGATGCTTCTTCTGCCAACTTGTTGTTTTTCACTTGCATATCTTCCAGTTTGTGGGAAACGTTTCATCACATGCTTCCGTTATGAACAGAAAACAAAGTTAGACAATTTAATTAAAATAGTTTGTAAGTTAGTCACTAAAATTATCCAAAATCCCTTAATTTGTTTTCTTTTCTAATTCTTTACAAACTTGTTATGTCTGTGATAATCCTTTTTCGAAAAAAGGCGCATAGTATACACTATTATTAACAAAATCATTGGAAAAACTTCATAAATGTCTACTACAAATGAAGTGATACTGATGATGATGTTGCAGTTTGATTAGATAATAACTGTGACTTTATAAAAACAGTGGAACAATAACAATTTATCTTGCCTAAAGGATTTAACATTTCATTGGACAACACTAAACAATTTAAGATTTGATAATTTTGTCTATTCAAGTGAAAATAGTAAACACTTAGTAAAAATTAAAAGAAACAAAACAAACAATGAGGACGTTTGTAAATTTTTTTTACGTCCTTGCTTTGTTCAAAAGAAATCAAGGGAATCGGTTAGTTGTTTGAATGCAGGGAATATTCTTCAAAATAAATCTAACTAGGCATTTTAATCTTAAAGTTTTCAAGGCTTGGTTTGCCCAGCTTAAATTATAAATATAAATCAAGTCATCATTACAAGTTAGTCTTTACTCTGGAACTCCTACTTTCGATAAAATGAATTTGACCAGTGGCACTTGACCTCCGCACCAACATTTTGTTGGTTGCCTAGTCAGATAGGGAATCAAAAATACTCAGCTCATTTTTCAATGGTACACCAAACCTTTATTTTGATAGTAGTAGGAAAAAAAATCAAAGTTAACTTCTATCTCATGGTGTTACTTGGTTAGTGGTGGCTAGCAGTGGAATACAGAAGATGTTTCCTCTTGTGTGGGAATCGTCAACTGGATGTACCTGTATTTCCATCCCTCGAACCAAACGTCTGTCTTCCTATACACCGAAGCTTTATGCACCAGTCCACTGGGTCACGGAAACCACCTTCTGTGAAATTGGTATCTGTTATTTGTTGAAGCATCCGGGCGAAGTTCAACAGTAGCGTCCCAGGAGTGCGAACGCCCCCAATGACCTTAAACGCATGCTAGTCGTTGGCTAACGGCACCTGTCATTATCATAGCTGAAATATCAATGGTATTCACCAACTAAGCAGCAAATTTCACCCAGATCACGTTTTTAAGTACTGTTTAGACAATGTGTTAATAGCTCGCTAGGGTTAGGATTAGGGTTAAGGGAAGTATTGGGGTTAGGGTTAGGATTAGGGTCATAATTAGGATTACGGTCAGGTTTACGGTTAGGATAAGGATTGTAATAAGGGTCAAGATTAAGGTTAGGGTTACGATTAGGGATAGATTTAGAGTTGATGTCATTTACTTTAATTTGTTTTATTATCCACATTTTCCTGGTAAGTAGTCGTCGGTCGTTTTACTGGAAACTGGGCTTTTGTGGAAGACTGCACAACAGGATAAGAGATAAACGATTCACAAAAACAGCTCATCTTCAGTCACCTCGGTGAATACATGTACAGAAACTAGTCTAACTTGTCAACTGATATTCCTCATTATAACTGGGACGTATTTTTAAGTCATGTCAGAGAAAGATACCCTGTTTAGTGTGTTTTCATGCCTTTTCTTGTAAATATACGTCATTTTTTGTGCAAAAATTCCTCATTTTTATGATTGGTCGGCTGAAGGTCACTTGTGCGTTCGCATCCCTTGGGACGCTATTGCCAGCATCCGTACTAGGAGCTGATATGTCAACAGAGGTCGAGTGTATCACTTCAATATAACCAATTAAGGGGAAATTCAAAACAACTTCAACAAATTTCATCTCTTTAGTAAATATCCAAACTATAACATAGAAACAAAAATAACTTAGAATTGAATACAAAGATATTTTTATGATTATATGCTAAAGCTTATTAAGAAGTTGTACATCATGTTAGAGTCTGATTTAATAAGACGTGATCAAGATTGATTTCTTGAAGTTCTTTATATGATTGAATTAATTCATAAAGTAACACAAATGTGATATATTCTACTTTGCATAATCGATCTAAACAACGTGACCATTTGAATCAATCTCTAACTGTAAGGAAAGAAATTTAAATTGACAGTTTTAACTTTCAGATTACGACAATAAAGTGAGTACAATTCTGAATTCACAACCGTACTTATACAACTGTTTAAACTGTGATTTTAATATGGCAGATTAAGAATATTACCCTCTAGCTTTAAATTTAATAGTATTGTTAAGGTAATAATAAATTTCGTGCGTCAGTGGCACAGCGGTAGAATGCTCGCCAACCACGCCTAATGTGGTCCGGGGTTCGACCCCCAGCCACCGACGCACTCCTTTACCTCGCTAAGCCAGTAATAAGACTGGTAAAGAGGGAAGGTTGGGCATGTGGCTAGCAATCCCATCCCGTAAAAATAAACACCACTGCTACCGAAACTTCAAGCGTCTAGCTTGAAGCCCTATGTTCCACTGGGAACGTAAAGGAATAAAACTAAACTGGAGTGAATTTTCAATGTCGAATTTTGTACAAAAGTATAGCAGTTCAAGTTATCACTCTTCATCAAAGCGCGTATAAAGATATAGAAAAAAGAAAAGAAAAAGGAAAGTTACAGGATTTTCATCATGAGCTGACATTAGTTAGAGAACCATTGGAAAACCTGGGAGTACTGGACAGCTGTTTCGTCCTAGTTTGGAACTCTTCATCAGTGCGCATCCACCGGGGTTCGAAATCAAGGTCTTTCGGTTGCAACGCGAGCTCGTAGACCATTCAACCACTGGGACCCAATCCAATGACCTATGAAATACAATTCCTGCCAATTTTCGGCATACAGCTCAACTGCCAGATTATGTCGTAGGCGAGTAACTGTTTTCTACCCCCCCTTAACGTTGACTGCTTGTTGCCCCTATACATATGTATATATATATATTCGCGAATTGACAGAAGTAGGAACTCACTGGCCATCGAACCGGATCCCAGTGACTGAATGGTCTACAAGTTCACCTTGTCACCACAAAGTCACGGGTTCGAACTCCGGTGGTTACATCCTGATGAAAAGTCCCAGACTAGGACGAAATAATTATCCAGTACTCCCTTAGTTCCCAGTGGTTCTCTTACTGATATCAGCTCGTGATCAGGCCTATTAAATCCAATAGTTAGATGTAGCACATTTTGCTCACCAAATTTAGCTTCATTAAAGCGATAACGTATTCATAATTCCAATAATTTTCGACGCAATATCATTTTGAATAAATATGGAATACATTACATTACATTAGTTAGCAATTTTCACCGTTTTTATGCGTGAATTCATGTATTTATATCACATACAGTGTATACTTAGTCTGTAAACGAAATTAACATAATCGTGATGTGCTTCACCTCGTCAGGTTTGATTCTTTATCTTAAGGATTTGATATTTATTCATTTTTAGTCATTCATCTGTATGTAATTAAGCAAGTTGTGTACACCAGTTTCTGTAGATTTATTTAATAGTTATCATTGTAAATGAAACCAATATGCTAATAAGTTAAACACAAGTATATATATATATATATATATTACCGATGTTGATTTCTATCTCCGCTTCTTGAATGTTTGATGTGTGTAAGCACCACCACTGTATGACTAAACAACGTCTTAACCTTAATTTTGTTTTCGTTCACAGGTGATGTTCGTGTAGAAGTTTCCTGTAAACAATGCAATGCACATTTGGGACATGTATTTGACGATGGACCAAAGCCTACAGGTCTTAGATATTGTATTAATTCTTGCGCTTTAACCTTTGAACCCTCAGATGATAATAATAATAATTCATCCAATTTAAACTCATCTATTACATGATATTCTTTTAATAAAGATAATCATGATATCATAATATACTGTTATACATAATAATAGGAGGTTCTCCTATATATTGCATTTCTACTTGGTACATATGCTTCTTCCCAAAGTTTTCTAATGACTTTCTAACTTTTTTTGTTCATTTATTTTTTGTTTTTCTTTTCTTTTCTGATTTGGATTATTTTCTTTTTTTTTACTGGAGTCTAATAAAATAAATTCCTAGTTGGGTTTGTTTTTTGAAATTACTGTTAGCTTTTTTTGATGCAGATTGAGGTGTTCTACGTAATTGTTAGTGATTGGGTTAAACAGATTGACTAAAGAACTGAATTGTTGTCATCAGACCTTTTTTTGGTAAAATGTATCAATTTTCAAGTGGTTGGGTTTGACCACAGATGTTTGCGTTTAATCTCCCGTGTTAAGTGACTTAATCTGGTGAGTAATGTTGCGGTTAGGCATAGAATTTTAGCTAAGGAGAGTAAATCAATCAATGAGGTTGTGAGGCTACATCGGCTGAGATGGCTAGGACAAGTGCTTTGCATACCGAGCTAGCACCTTCTTTGACGAGCAATGTTTAACAGACAGGATCAAGTTGGAAAAGAGTTACGGGTGGTCAAACTAAATCCCGGCATCAATCCATGAAGTCGTTGACAGTCGTGAGGTTCTCGTGGTGGTAAGAATCAATAGCTGCAGACTGTCGGTGATATAGATAGAAATCCTCTTCAGTAGATCAGATGCGGTCAGTCTTTGTGATCTCCAGTTTCCTCTAAACTGTCATGTTATTCCCTTATTACTATTCTTCCTCCCTCAAATATCTACTCATTGCAGTTTTTTGAGCCTCTTTTATCTACCTTTGTGTGCTATGTGGAGTATGGACTGTTATACTTCTTTGCTAAGTTCTCTGTTGAAACTCAGTTATTTGGGTTTGTGGGGATATGATTAACTTTTAGGTAGATCTCATCATAGACCAACATTATTTAAAGCATTATTGAAAACTACAGGGAAATGAACAGCTTTTCCTTTCTAGTCTTGGACTCTTCAGCCGTGTGAGTAGTTTTTAACGGAATAAATTACTGTGTTATTGAAACTAACATTATTTATTCAAGTGTTGGTTTGCAGGGATTTGATCGGTTACAGGATTTCATCATCAGCTGACATTAGTTAGAGAACCATTGGAACCCGATGGATACATACTGATCAAGAGTTCGAGACTAGGCTTGTGAAATATCTGTCCAGTACTCCCAGGTTTTCCAATGGTTCTCTAACTAATGTTAGCTCATGATGAAATCCTATAACATTGTTTAATAAGTACAGCACTGAGCCGACGACTGCAAGCAATCATTTAGATTCAAAGGGATATCAATAACAAGGCTATTTTTCCAGAATTGATGCAGTACAGCTTTCAATAGGAGAAAAGATAGTGCCTATAATCCGGATTCATATCTGAAGGCTTTCATTTCATTATGCGAAGCATGATTATCTTGTATAGAAAAGTAATCGATTGATGTATAGATTCAACTGACATTGTATTTCTGTTCCGGGAAGACAATATTGGTTTGAAATGGATTATTATTATTTCCTTGGGTTCCGAGTGGAACATAGGACTTCAACGGAACATCTCCATTTCATCCTGGTCTCTACAGTCTTCTTTATCTGGCTCCACGATCTCTCATAAGCTCTCATCCTCTCTTCACACTACTCCCTCCATGTCACCAACTCGTCATTTACCATCTGTGTTCCTCTCGAGGGTCTGGCACGCAATGTCATTCAACGGTCTCTTCAACGTGTGTTCGATCCATCTCAACTTCCTTCAGGATATTTGTTGGATGGTTCGCACCTAGAGTTTCCTACTGCTAATCCTTTCTGGCTATTTGATCTTCGGTATGGAACAAAGGCAGACATGCCAAGTCTCTGAAACATATAGAAGCACTTATCTGACATAAGTGTTGGAAATTTGGATGTTGTTCTTTATGCTTAATGCAGCTGAAATGCATGCCATCGTTACAGGCATGGCCTATTTTTGACGTGCTCAGCACCTTCGTAATATCTGAAACTAACAATATACAGTCGCTTCGCCAATTGTCTATCTAATTTTTATCTAATAAGGGTAATAGAAACAACACTTGTCGAATTGTGAAGATCATAAATATTGTTGTCTATTTTACTTAATTATACACCCTCTAATTCTAGCCTATTGTAAAGGCAATAATCTTGTTTCACTAGGTTTTTCGTGTTTACTTTCGTATTGATTTATTTTTTTCAATTTTCTTGGAATATATCATGAAATGACAATGTATGCATGATTATCGTTTTGTTTGCAATGTGATATTCTAATGCCTCATCACATGTTTTACAGTCAAATCTTATATTTGTGGTATATTAGATGAAATTATCAAGGGTAATAGTTATTTCACATGAAGTTGTAATTTCTTTTTTAACTACGTGCTATCATAAAAAATAATAACCAAAAGTAGATATTTCATGCATTCGTAGTCAATTAAGATGAGAAGGATAAAAAGGAAACTAGTTTTGAAAAATGCCTATTAAAATTCTCTTTAAAAAGACATACTACTTATAAGTAATTTAAATTTTCGAAAGCTATTTCTCAGGAGTTTTCTCTAATAAAGCATTAGGCAAAAACGTTTACCTCATGTCTTCGCTACGAAAATACGTTTATTCTAAATTATCATAGTTAATAATATTATATATTATTGAGAGATAAAAGGTTCTTAAAGTGATAAGTAAATCTACTTTGAAGGTGTCTTGTAAGTCATAATCGTTTACAGTCGTATCACTAGTCAACAATGGATGTTGAACTTCACTGCTTTAGTTGACTGTTTAGCTGGAGCTACTCTATCGTGTTGTTTCCGTTTGTTCCTCTGCAACCAAGAACATATTTTGGTTTAACAAAACTGAGCCTGAGATATACATTTGTTTTATCCTACTGAATATATTTCATCTAACATTATACAACAAGCATCTCTGATTAGAGGATAGTATTCGCATACATCTTATTCGTGTGAATTAATATTAGTTGATCTCTCATATCTCTTGAAATTGGGTGTGTCTAAATTTAATAAAAAAATAGCTCAGCTTACTGATTTATCCCACTGTGATAGTATTTATTTCTATTGCAAATATACTGCAGTTCAATAATACATATAAATTGTTAGGATTATTGTGCTTTTTTAAAAATCTCACGTAGTTAAAACAAAAGCTGGGACTTAAATGTTTTGTACCTAACGAAAATCTGTCTTTTGTTGAGTATTCTTCATAATGAAATAGTATGAACGGCATAAAATGGCATCGTAGGGTTTATGCTTTAAGTTCTCATAGCACTTAACCGGAACAGAATTCACAAATTATTTCTTTAACACCAATTAATTGTTTCTGTATCTTCTGTCTAGTGAAGTGGATTAACTACATAATACTGTGTATATCAACATTTTATTCCTTACCATATCAAGCAGTTAATTCTTTCTGCTGAATTTTGTCACGAATTGAAATCAGCTAAATAAATGCTAAGCAGCACCTGTGTTAGCTGCTTTATTCTAACTTGATACTTTTAAGAACACAAAGATATGGTGTTGATAACCGTCAAGTTTCAAGATGAACATTTTATTATTCATTGAGAATTCTAGCATGTTAGACTTATGTATTTTCAACTTCCTATACTCTTTTCCTCCCAAAGTATAAATGACACGGAAACAGTCTGTCATGTGTTAAACGAGAGAAAATAATATTTCAAACAGAATTTCATGGAATCATTAAAATCACCGTTAAGAGGATGAGAATAAAACATAGTTTGCCTCAGGTACAATACAGTCTTAAAACTAAAATATAAAATGACTATATAAAAGCATTAGTAACGTAATTTATGCATGAGTTGAGTTTTTCAACAAATTATTTCCAACTGTTTATCGGTTAACTTTTTGTCAAATATATCCATGTTCGTAAAGATGTCATCGAGGGAATAGACTCTCAAGGACCATGTCTTCCTGTGAATTTATAAATATTAAATTCATTTTGTCTCTACAACTAATCTTCTACCATGTTCAGTCGAAATTGAAAACAGATGTGATTCAACGAAAAGATTCTTGTGAACGAATTTATTACCAAGAGGTAGAAGTGAAACTATAAGAAGAGTGATTATGAGCAATGAATTGTGTTCGAATCGTCATCAGTAAATATTAATGTATAACACTGTGAGACTTTATCAAAATAAAAATTTTACCCATAATGGAATTATACTCTACCACAGTGCACAAGTCCTATTCTTATATCAATGATACTAAGAAGAGTGCTAACTGAATTTCTAGTCAACACTGGTCATCTAATCTCCACAACCTTTTCCTTGAAAGTTGTCGGCAAGGAGAAAAATAACCTACCAAAATCATTACACATCTGTATCTCTGATGCTTTGGCCATCGAAATAGAAAAACCATAACTCTGTAAACACCGGAAATTTGTTCAACCACTCCTTTTTTTCTTGGTCCTAATCCATCTATGTTGGATTATTATTATTATTATTATGGACCCCATTTCGACCTTGGCCCTATTTGTTTTTCGTTTTGTTTATTCAATATGTATATTTACCCACCTTATTTATCTCGACTGGTATTATTATTTTCACTTTTTGAACGATTTCTGGTACTATCTCACTTTTCATCCTTTATTTACTTTATTCAATATAAATTTTCTACAATGTTATCAAAAATCTTACATTATCACATAATGTTTTAATCTGCTACTAATCTTATTAATTCGCCCTCCTCCCTTTTCAAAGCTTTATAAGCTCCATGAACTATTCTATAAACCACATAACTTATTTTGTCGTTTAACTATGATTATAATGATAAATATGTGGACACAATTGGAAGTGGGGCTCATCAGTCTAGGCGCTCGACTACCAACCAGCGAGTCACGAATTCAAACCCCGCTCCAACTACCGAGTTTAGGCTGGCCAGGCGTGGTATCACTAGTCGTTTCAAAATAGGTGTGGCTCATAGGAAATTTAGGTCACAATTCACATGAAATATATACGATATATATATCACGTTGCTGGACAAAATCTGTAGCTAAAACATTAACAAACTAATTTCAAATTTCGTCCGTTTCTGGAACTTTCGGTCTACAGCCTATCACTCAAAAATTCAAATGCTTTGGAGGGGAGGGGGTATCGGAAATTTGTCCGAAATCTGGTTTGAGTATATTCATATTTTTTTAACGAACTAGTAACATTCCAAACGTGTTGATTTGTAGATAATTTTATATTCATACAATTAATATACTCATCAAATAATGAGTCATACATATGTGTGTATTTGG